TAGAACTCAGATATGTATTCATCTGTCTGGAAGAATACGCTCCACAATTACTTGTCATTCCGACGTCGCTTGTGGAACAGAACATTTCCACATAAAACGCAATAATTATAAAAAACAACTTTCTTTTGTTAAAGCGCAACTAAAGGCTGTTTATATCCAACGTTATTCACCAAGAACCGTCCCCAGCAACATCGTCATCACGTCTATGGCGGGCGAACAACTTCCTTGCCAGCCTAAATCGAATCGAATATTCCCAATAACCGCCAGTGCCCATGACCGCAGCGCGAGGCGGTAGGACATGGTGCAGGGGCGGACTGACCATTCGAGCACTCGGGCTCTGCCCGAGGGCCCGGGGTCAGTAGGGGGCCCCATGAAATGCCCCTGGTACCTTTTTTATAGGCTTTTTTGAGTGTGGGCAAGGACACAGGGGCTCCATGATCCCCTATTGCCTGGGGGCCCCATGAGTTGTCAGTCCGCCCCTGGATGGGGCACTATTCCTCCCACTGACACCAATGATGCGGCACTATTCCTCCCACTGACACCAACGATGGGGCACTATTCCTCCCCACTGACACCAATGATGGGACACTATTCCTCCCACTGACACCAATGATGGGGCACTATTCCTCCCACTGACACCAATGATGGGGCACTATTCCTCCCACTGATACCAATGATGAGGCACTATTCCTCCCACTGACACCAATGATGGGGCACTATTCCTCCCACTGACACCAATGATGGGGCACTACCTCCCACTGACACCAATGATGGGGCACTATTCCTCCTACTGATACCAATGATGGGGCACTATTCCTCCCACTGACACCAATGATGGTGCACTACCTCCCACTGACACCAATGATGGGGCACTATTCCTCCCACTGACACCAATGATGGGGCACTATTCCTCCCACTGATACCAATGATGGGGCACTATTCCTCCCACTGATACCAATGATGGGGCACTATTCCTCCCACTGACACCAATGATGGGGGACTATTCCTCCCACTGACACCAATGATGGGGCACTATTCCTCCAACTGACACCAATGATGGGGCACTATTCCTCCCACTGACACCAATGATGGGGCACTATTCCTCCCACTGATACCAATGATGGGGCACTACCTCCCACTGACACCAATGATGGGGCACTATTCCTCCCACTGACACCAATGATGGGGCACTATTCCTTTCACTGATAGATACTTTCACCCATGAGTTGTCAGTCCGCCCCTGATATGGTGGGAGGTCTTGTAGGATGATATTCGCTGTCTTACTGGTTATCGATAAAATGACAGCTCCGCCCTTTACTGTGGGCGGAGATATGCATGGTCTAGTGCACATGTGCCAAACACAAGGCCTGAGGGCAGGGGTGTATTTACCACAAGGCAAACAAGGCATTTGCCTAGGGCAGCATTTTTTAGGGGGGCAGCCAGGGGCGGACTGACAACTCATGGGGCCCCCGGGCAATAGGGCATCATGGGGCCCCTGTATCCTTGCCCACACTCAAAGCACACCCAAAAAAGCCTATAAAAGGTACAGGGGCATTTCATGGGGCCCCTTACTGACCGGGCAGTGCCCTAGTGTTCGAATGGTCAGTCCGCCCCTGGGGGCAGCACTGCACCCTGGAAGAAGGGACATATGTGGGCCTGGGGACCAGGTGGGATCTGAGAGAGGCTGCGGGCTGCTTGATGGTGTATGCAGAGCCCAACTGTCGTTCCCGGGGACGGCCAAAGCTGTGAAAGTGAGTGTCTTTCTCTCTGTCGCCGTGGGGGGGGGGGGAGATGGAGCGGGGGTGTTGTTAGTCAGTGTCAGGCTCTCTCTCTGCCCAGGAGGGCGTCTGATTTTTGTGTTGCCTAGGGCAACACAAACCAAAATACACCACTGCCTGAGGGCCGAATCTGGCCTGCCAGACCATTTCATGTGGCCCTTGCACCTCTCCTGCAGCTGCGGCACCCCCCCTTTTCTTCACCCCCGGCAGCAGAGAATAGAACAGAACTCTTCACCCTTAGGTCATCACAGAGGACAAGGGGGCGCTCTTTACGTCTGGAGGAAAAGAAATGTAATTTCCAAACACGGAAAGGTTTCTTCACAGTAAGAGCTGTGAGAATGTGGAATAGACTCCCTCAAGAGTTGGTTGTGGCCAGCTCAGTGGATTGCTGTAGGAAAGTCCTGGATTCTTTCTTGGATGCACAGAATATAACTGGATCAGAGGCGGACTGACCATTTGGATACTCGGGCACTGCGCAAGGGCCCAGGGTCAGTAGGGGGCCCCATGAGATGCCCCTGGTACCTTTTTCATAGGCTTTTTTGAGTTTGGGCAAGGACACAGGGGCCCCATGATCCCTTATTGCCCGGGGGCCCCCATGAGTTGTCAGTCCGCCCCTGAACTGGATATAACATTTATAGGTAAAGTTGATCCAGGGAATATCCGATTGCCTCTCGGGGGATCAGGAAATAATTTTTTCCCCTTCTGGAGCACATTGGATCGTGCTTTGCTGGTTTTTTTTTGCCTTCTTCTGTATCAACTGTGGGTGTAGGATTATAACTTTTTTGACTTTTGTCTTTTTTCAGCCAGACTAACTATGTAACTCCTCCACCAGATTCTGCGTTTCTACATGCAGTCGCAGCGCAGAGAGGCTTGTCTCCGCCTCCACCCCATCTCAGCAGTTGGCAGCAGAGAGGAGGACACAACTCCTCCTACAGACCACGTGTCTCTCTCTACAGCCGCAGCACCCCCTCGTCTCTGTTTCCCCTGGTCTCAGCATTCCGCAGACTCCAGCAACTGACTTCAGCCCTCCTCAAGGTCCTCCTCCAGCCCTGAATTTTCTGCTTCCAAGCTCCGCCCCAAGCTTCTTCCCGGCAGCAGCACAAGGTAAGGGGGGTGCACAGTGATGTAAGGGAGGGTGGAGGACTCTAGACTTCTGATGGTGGGGGGGAGGGGTTCTTAACATCTGATGTAAGGGGGATGTGGTGCTCTGGACATCTAGTCTTATAAACAGAGTTGGCCCTTTGAGGGCAACCAGAATTGTGGCCCACAATGAATTTGAGTTTTACACCCCTGGTCTACTGGGTGGGGATAGGCTTGTGCACTTACAAGGCTTGCTCGATGTGACAAAAAAACCCACTGCAATGGCACCAATGATGGGGCACTATTCCTCCCAATTACACCCACAAAGGGGCACTATTCCCTCCACTGATACCAATGATGGGGCATTATTCCTCCCACTGACACCAATGATGGGGCCACTATTCCTCCCACTGATACCAATGATGGGGCACTATTCCTCCCACTGATACCAATGATGGGGCACTATTCCTCCACTGATACCAATGATGGGGCACTATTCCTCCCACTGACACCAATGATGGGGCACTATTCCTCCCACTGATACCAATGGTGGGACACTATTCCTCCCACTGATACCAATGATGGGGCACTATTCCTCCCACTGACACCAATGATGGGGCACTATTCCTCCCACTGATACCAATGATGGGGCACTATTCCTCCCACTGATACCAATGATAGGACACTATTCCTCCCACTGACACCAATGATGGGGCACTATTCCTCCCACTGATACCAATGATGGGGCACTATTCCTCCACTGACACCAATGATGGGGCACTATTCCTCCCACTGATACCAATGATGGGGCACTATTCCTCCCACTGACACCGAAGATGGGGAATTGCTTACTCCCACTGACGCTAGGACATATTCTACCCCACTGACCACAAAGTCTAAAGGACGGTATACTGGCCCCTTTCTTATCATGTTTGGAGACCCCTGGTTTGGACAATTATTCCGGTTCTCAGTTCTTTTACCTCCTTTGGGTCTTTTTTATTTTGAGAAGCCATGAATTCTTAGCACTATCTGTAGAATTTTTTCATCTCTGGTCCAAAATGCAGATGCAAAGCAAACTGATAAAAATTCCATTTATTCCTTGAGAATGGCTCTGCAACGTCATCTATAAAAGATTGCCTTCTTCAAAAGGCTTCTATGGAAACACATCTTGATGCATTGTACTGTATTGTACCCCGCGTGTCATCTTTGTATCTTATGCAATCTCTGTAATTTTAAGGAAAAAAAAAAGGAAAATACTTTCCTGTTTTAGGCTAGATTCACACCTACAGGTGCAACCACACATGTGCGCATATTCAGTGTATTCCTGAGTGGTACGTGCAGTGCAGCCCAATGAGTGCAATGGGCTGCCCTACGCATCGGAAACAGTGGGTTCAATGGGCTGCCCTATTCATGGGAAACTTGAAAAGAAGTCTCTGACCATCTCCTGCATCATGTCTGCAGTCTCTGACCATCTCCTGTAGAATGACTGCAGTCTCTGACCATCTCCTGCATCATGTCTGAATTCTCTGACCATCTCCTGTAGTATGTCTGCAGTCTCTGACCATCTCCTGCATCATGTTTGCAGTCTCTGACCATCTCCTGTAGTATGTCTGCAGTCTCTGACCATCTCCTGTAGTATGTCTGCAGTCTCTGACCATCTCCTGTAGTATGTCTGCAGTCTCTGACCATCTCCTGTATCATGTCTGCAGTCTCTTACCATCTCCTGTAGTACTTCTGCAGTCTCTGACCATCTCCTGTAGTATGTCTGCAGTCTCTGACCATCTCCTGTATCATGTCTGCAGTCTCTGACCATCTCCTGTATCATGTCTGCAGTCTCTGACCATCTCCTGTAGTATGTCTGCAGTCTCTGACCATCTCCTGTATCATGTCTGCAGTCTCTGACCATCTCCTGTATCATGTCTGCAGTCTCTGACCATCTCCTGCATCATGTCTGCAGTCTCTGACCATCTCCTGTAGAATGACTGCAGTCTCTGACCATCTCCTGTATCATGTCTGCAGTCTCTGACCATCTCCTGCATCATGTCTGAATTCTCTGACCATCTTCTGTAGTATGTCTGCAGTCTCTGACCATCTCCTGCATCATGTTTGCAGTCTCTGACCATCTCCTGTAGTATGTCTGCAGTCTCTGACCATCTCCTGTAGTATGTCTGCAGTCTCTGACCATCTCCTGTAGTATGTCTGCAGTCTCTGACCATCTCCTGTAGTATGTCTGCAGTCTCTGACCATCTCCTGTATCATGTCTGCAGTCTCTGACCATCTCCTCTAATATGTCTGCAGTCTCTGACCATCTCCTGTAGTATGTCTAGAGTCTCTGACCATCTCCTCTAATATGTCTGCAGTCTCTGACCATCTCCTGTAGTATGTCTGCAGTCTCTGACGATCTCCTGCAGTACATCTGCAATCTCTGACCATCTCCTGTATCATCTCTGCAGTCTCTGACCATCTCCTGTAGTATGTCTGAAGTCTCTGACCATCTCCTGTAGTATGTCTGCAGTCTCTGGCCATCTCCTGCATCATGTTTGCAGTCTCTGACCATCTCCTGTAGTATGTCTGCAGTCTCTGACCATCACCTGTAGTATGTCTGCAGTCTCCCACCATCTCCTGTAGTATGTCTGCAGTCTCTGACCATCTCCTGTATCATGTCTGCAGTCTCTGACCATCTCCTGTAGTATGTCTGCAGTCTCTGACTATCTTCTGTAGTATGTCTGCAGTCTCTGACCATCTCCTGTATCATGTTTGCAGTCTCTGACCATCTCCTGCAGTATGTCTGCAGTCTCTGACCATCTCCTGTAGTATATCTGCAGTCTCTGACCATCTCCTGTACTATGTCTGCAGTCTCTGACCATCTCCTGTAGTAGGTCTTTAGTCTCTAGTAATCCCCTGGTCCCCCAGAGGGCCGTGGACTGTCTCTATTAAGCATTTGCCCTCCAGAGGATTCCCCCCCCCTCCTTCCTGACCAAGCCATTTTTTGCGTTACGGAGATGCGTTACTTTAACTGACAATTGCGCGGTTGTGAAACACTGCACCCAAATGAAATTAACTTTTTTTCCCCCACAAATTGAGATTTCTTTCTGTGGTATATGACTGCCTGCGCATTTTGTATTTTTTGCTCTATAGGCAAAAAAATGCCAACAATTTTGAGAAAAAAACTATGTTTTGGACTTTTTGCAATAAAACACGTCCAGTAAAAAAATAGAAAAAATCAAATTTCGTCATAAATTTCGGCCAAAATGTATTCTGCTCCGTGTCTTTGCTAAAAAAAATCCCAATACGTGTAAATTAATTGGTTTACGTGAAAGTTATAGGATTTACAAATGACAGTATAGATAATGGGATTTTTTTTTCTACTAGTAATGGCGGTGATCAGCGACTTTTAGCGGGACTGCGGCGGACATTCTGACACTGGGGGGGGAACTAACTTGGTGTCACTGACATCCCCAATGACACCAGTATAGTGATCAGTGCTTAAAAAAAGCACTGACACTGCACTAATGGCACTGGGCAGGAAGGGGGAAATGTGAGGGGCGATCAAAGGGTTAACTGTGTGCTGGGTGTGTTTTACTAGGTGGCGGGGCGTTCTGCACTGTAAGCACACTGATCAGGATGGCTGTGCTGTGCAGTGTGCTTGAGCTGACAGGGAGAACATTGTTTGTAAACAAAACGAGCTTCCTCCCCGTTGGAGATGCTCAGTAATCACCGGGCACTGGCTGGTAATTACTGGCCGGGGCCTGGTGATTGACATCCACAGGCGCGAATGGCGGCGTGGGTAGTGCACGCACATGGCTCGCGTGCCTCCCCCCACCCGGAAATGCAAAGTCACGTATATATATGTGGTTTTGCGCACAGGGCTATAAGGAGGTCCTTAAGCGGTTAATTGGGAAATCTGCCGAACCACATTGGGTGAGAGAGAGGCCCATTGATAGTTTGTCACCTCAGTTATCTACACAGTCATGAACATTTTACATTGTTGCCACAGTTGCGGCCTAGTTCTGCCAGTGCCATTGCTGGAGTACATCTGCAGTACAATCATCATTGGAGCTGACTGCAGGACATACAGTTGCAGAGCAAGATTCCTACTACTGCTCATGTTTTGCCTTTGCCATCTAGAGGGAATTATATTTGTCCTTAGACATCCATGCCACTTGTTGCTACCTACTACTCCAAGCTCAATTCATCCTTTGAGCTCTTAAAGGGAACCTTGCACTAATTATTTGCCATCAGTCAGGGAAGTGTTGAATCTTCTCCTTTTCCCCCTCACCATCTTTTCACCCTGAGGAACTATCATCCACCCCTAGATGCAACTTCACACCAACTGGGCCCCAACAAGCGCACAGAAGAGATTATAGAGCTCCTGAAGTGGAAACTGCCAATTATATTTGAGTATTCTCTTTCTTTCACATTTAGTCCTGGTCATCTAGTTCTGAGGACCCACAGTCAGCTTACCTGTTTCTTGATAGTTGCTTTCTGCTCAGTGGGGGATTCAGCAGTCCCCTCAAATTGGAGGCAGTAGATTATTTTTGAAAGCAGGCTTGCTAACAGATACTGTTGTTTTATTGTGAATGTTGTTACTTTTACTCACAATCAGGGATGGACTGACCATTTGGAAACTTGGGCGCTGCCCGAGGGTCCAGGGTCAGCAGGGGGGCCCCATGAGATGCCCCTGGTACCTTTTTCATAGGCTTTTTTTGAGTTTGGGCAAGGACACAGGGGCCCCATGATTCCCTATTGCCCGGGGACCCCTTGAGTTGTCAGTCGCCCCTGCTCACAATTGCCAATAGTGATCAGATTTGCCGCCAATATCAGTGTTGTTATTCTTGACTCAGTTACCTCTTCAATATAAACTTCATTTTGGTTTATACTACTGTATGTGAGTCCATTTTTCAGGTGTGATTTATGTGGGTCACCAGAGCACGGTGGTGTCAGCAGAGGTTGGGCTTCCAATGAGAGGTCCAGATTGACAGGGAACCCAGAATTTGTTAAGCAACCCTTAAGGGGGTAGTGCTACAGTAGTAAAAACGGATTAAAGCATTGCAGAAAGTGGTTGATACTCGTTACATACAGTCATGGTCACAAATATTGCCCCCCCCTCTCATTGATAATCCCCCTGTCAGAAAACGCACCACTTCGCCCAGAAAAACTGTTGCAATTACAAATGTTTCGGCGCTCTCATGTTTATTTCTTTGGTTTGTATTGGTGACACTGAAAAGTGGAGAAACAAAAAGCCAAACTGACACATTCCACGCAAACCCCAAAAATGGACTGGACAAAATTTATTGGCACCCTCAATGTAATATTTGGTAGGACTCAACCTTTGGAAAAAATAACTGAAATCCATGGCTTCCTGTCACCATCAATGAGTTTCTTCCACCTCTCTGCTGGAATTTTGGAGCGCTCTTCTTTCGCCAACTACTCCGGGTCTCTCAGATTGGAAGGGTTCCTTTTCCCAATTGCTGTTCTGAGATCTCTCCACAGGAGCTCTATGGGATTGAGATCTGGACTCATTGCTGGCCAGTTCAGTCCTCTCCAGCACTTTTCTGAAACCATTTCTGGGGGGCTTTTTGATGTGTGCTTTGGGTCATTGTCCTGCTGGAATACCCATGACTTCTGATGGAGACCCAACTTTTTGACACCGGGCCCTACATTGCCCCCCAGAATTCTTTGGTAGTCTTCAGATTTCATCATGCCATGCACACGGCCAAGACAACCAATGCCTGAAGCAGCAAAGCAACCCCAAACCATCAGTGACCCCCCACGATGTGTGACTGGAGGGACTGGATTCTTTTCTTTAAAGGCCTCATTGCTTTTTCTGAAAACAGTAGAATGATGGGCTTTACCAAAAAGCTGAAATTTTGTTTTGTCTGTCCACAGCACATTCTCCCAGAAGGATTTTGGCTTCCTCGGGTACGTTTTGGCAAACTCAAATCTGGCTACCAATATGTTTCTTTGTCAGTGGTGGGATCCTCCTGGGTCTCCTACCATATTTTTGTGTCAGCGGTGGGGTCCTCCTGGGTCTCCTACCATATTTCTGTGTCAGCGGCGGGGTCTCCTGGGTCTCCTACCATATTTCTGTGTCAGCGGTGGGGTCACTTCTGGGTCTCCTACCATATTTCTGTGTCAGAAGCAGGGTCCTCCTGGGTCTCCTACCATATTTCTGTGTCAGCGGTGGGGTCCTCCTGGGTCTCCTACCATATTTCTGTGTCAGCAGTGGGGTCCTCCTGGGTCTCCCACCATATTTCTGTGTCAGCAGTGGGGTCCTCCTGGGTCTCCCTACCATATTTCTGTGTCAGCAGTGGGGTCCTCCTGGGTCTCCTACCATATTTTTGTGTCAGCATTGGGGTCCCTCCTGGGTCTCCTACCATATTTCTGTGTCAGCAATGAGGTCCTTCTGGGTCTCTCACCATATTTCTGTGTCAGCAGTGGGGTCCTCCTGGGTCTCCTACCATATTTCTGTGTCAGCAATGAGGTCCTTCTGGGTCTCTCACCATATTTCTGTGTCAGCAGTGGGGTCCTCCTGGGTCTTCTACTATAGTGTCCTTTTTTCATTCATCAGATGGCGACGTATAATGCGAGTGGACACAGTTGTGTTTCCTGTGCCTGAAGGTCCGCTGAATATCTCTGGAAGTTGATCGAGGTTCATTATCCACCATTCTTACAATCCATTGCAATTTTCAATCAATTTTTTTTTCATCCACATCCAGGTAGATTGGCTACAGTGCCATGGGCTGTAAACTTCTTGACAATGTTGTGCACAGTGGACACAGGAACATGAAGATCTGTGGAGATGGCCTTTTCCATTTTTCCAATTTTTGTTCTCAAATCCTCAGACAATTCTTTGCTGCTCTTTCCTCTTCTCCATGCTCCATGTAGCACACAGAGACACACAAACAGAAAGGTGGAGGCCATTTTTCACCATTTTATCTGGTTGCCGGTGTGATTTCTATATTGTCAGCACCCTGGTCATGGATACGGGGAGTTTAATTACAAATTACAGGAACATCACAAATTTGGAATGCAATTATTTCTTACAATTTTGAAAAGGTGCCAATAATTTTTGTCCAGTCCATTTTGGGGTTTTGCGTGGAATGTGTCAGATTTGGCTTTTTGTTTCTCCACATTTTTTGTGTCACCAATACAAACAAAAGAAACATGAGAATGCCGAAACATTTGTAATTGCAACGATTTTTGGGCGAAGTGGTGCGTTATCTGATGCAGGGGCCCTGGTAGACCGCCGGCTACCAATATTTTTGACCATCTGACTGGAAGAAAAAAGAAACAAGTTCATCTAGTTCAGTGGTCGGCAAGCCGCGGCTCGCAAGCCACATGCGGCTCTTTACAAACTTAAATGCGGCTCTTCTGTGTGCCGGGCGCCCGCTCCCCTCCCTCCTCCTCTCGAGCGGCCGCCCCCCTCCCTCCTCTCGGGCGGCCGCTCCGCTCCCTCCATCCTTCGGGCGGGCCGCCCCCCTCCCTCCTCTCGGGCGCCGCCCCCCTCCCTCCTCTCGGGCGGCCGCCCCCCTCCCTCCTCTCGGGCGGCGCTCCCCTTCCTTCTCTCGGGCGGCCGCCCCAAAAGTCAGGACTCTGCAGCTGTCAGGATGTAGGCGGGGCAGCCAGGATGTAGACGGGGCAGCGTGACGAATCCTCTCCTCTCACAGTCTGCCCTGAAGACCAGAACGGCGCGGGAACACGGCGAGAAGAACGCGCGGAGCAAAGGTAAGTGAATTACTATAGGGGGGATGAATTACTATATGGGGGATGAATTACTATATGGGGGATGAAATACTATGGGGGATGAATTACTATATGGGGGATGAATTACTATATAT